TAGCACTTGGGAGTTATGGTAACATATCATACCTTATTTAGTGCATTGTATAAATAGTAACAATAAAATAATAATAATAATAATAATAATAATAATAAATTCAATAGAAAAATGCAGCTAAAAATTGACATAAAGCGTAGTCTTTTTTATTAAATAACATATTTGTAGCTATTAAACTTCAATAACCCTATAAACATAATCATTTTTGTAAGTTGTTCATCAATAAATTGGTTGGTACGTTGCAAAAGAAAATTAATTATTTTAAATTGGCATCTGATACTCATACTAAAGTTCGATTAATTTGAATTTGTATCGAATAGGGCCTTATTCAGGATGAAAATCTCCCTAGCAGGGATTTTTTCATGACTCGAATATGAGACATGTGATTAAAAATGAATAGTTTTATCCACTGCACCACATGTTTTGATGATAGTTTATTGCAATATGACACTAAATGAAATCAAATATTCTTTCCATCTCATTTTAATAATCGTTTTGATTATTATTTTCATGTTTTTCAAAAACATATAAGGTGTGATTTATTATATTATTTGTATTTTAATAGAAGTAAATTGGTTTTTTATTTCTTAAATATTCTTTTATTTTATTTTTAATTGTTTATTATATTAAAAATGGTGTGATCAAAATGTGTTACATTACCACTTGACCTTGCTTCATTTAAATTTATGTTAAATCTAATCTAATATACAAATAAAATATATTGTTTAGAAAATTCTGTTGTTTTTTTACGTTTGGAACATTACATGTTTGTTTTGAAAATATTGTTATATTTATTCTTCCAAAATAATTTTTTTAATGGCATATATATATTTAATGTTCTCTTTATAACTTGAGGTGCACATGAGCTTTCTCTATTATTAATAAATAAATAAATAAAAGTCTACAAGTACATCACTTTGTCAAAGAAGGTGAAGTACTAATGTTTCACGTCTTGGATGTTTCAAGTCTTAAATATAAAAAAAAATTATATCTTTCTCTTAAGTAGATTTCACGTAACGTAAATTCAAAATTAATTCAAAACTTTAATACGAATATTGAACATTAAGTTAAATAAATAAAGTTTCACCTGGAAATTTTATATTTTATCCTACATTTAATTATGGAATAAGTGTTTGAAAAATATTTCAACTTTGGTCGAAGTTGTTGTTGCGATACTAAACTTTCATGAGGATCTATTACCTCCCTAAACTATTTAATAGTGTATTTTTATCCTCCTGAACTATTTAAAAGCGTATTTTAAAAGTATATATATGTCCACATGAACACCTTATTATTTATAATTTCACATTATTTTTTGTGTCGACATGAGCAAATATATATGTTTAAAATACAATATTAAATAGTCTAAAAAGGTAAATAGATTCTCGTGAAAGTCTAGTATCACAACTGCAAATTTGATCAAATTTGAGATATTTTTCCGACCCTTATCCATTTAATTATAATGTACAATATTTGGACTTTTCCATCCATATTCCTTGTGCTAAATAAAAGAAAAAATTGTATCTTCCACATAAATTGAATCAATTCAATGTATATAATTAATGTAATATAGATAGCATATATACTAATACATAGTTGCTAGTTGGAATAGTATCCAATCATAACATGACTTGTCTTTGACAACCAAAACATCTCAAAGATCTAGTGAATCTTTAATTTCAATTTACCAACAATCGTATGATCGAGATTTTTTCATTTTTGATCATAAAAAATGTTGGATTTGAGTTTTGAAAATAATGAAAATTTTCAGTTAAGAGTATAGTACTTCTTTTAATCATAAACTTATTTAGGATAAATCTAAATAACTCAATAAATTTTAAATATTAAATAGTTAAAATGAGAGAGAGAAAAAATATTGTATCCATCTAAACCCCTAGCTATGGAAGGTTTACAAAAGGGGAAAACACAAAATAAATAAATAAATAAATATATATATATATATAATTGTAATTCAATCCCTTTTTAGAATGATCGAATAATCAAAGATGATGAGTTGAAGTTTTGAATATGAAAAAAAATTTAGTAGAGGATATTTTTTCTAAATAAACCTTACGTTATAAGAATTCGAACTAATTAACCTTTAAAGCGGCGTTGAAGTTTAAGCACTTAATTTATCTCTTTTTTTTTTTAATTTACATGAAAAAATCTTGTTGAATCATAGAATATGACCAAAGGAACATTTGTAATGCAAAATTAAAATTTGTACTTTTGAATATGTGAATTGAAAATATTCCTCTCTAACTATACTTGCTTTTATTAAGCTTTTAAAAAGAGTTTTATTGATGCATCTTTTTAACTACAAACAAAATAAATGACATATACATTGCTTAACATCTTTTAATAGGCCGATTCATAAATAAATTCTTAAACTTGTTGGGTTTTTCACTTCAGGTACCTTAACTACGTTATTTTCCTATTAAATCATTGAACCATCCATAATTTGTTTCTTTTAAACTGTTGGCTTATTTTGATAGATTTTTCTATTGTAAATGCCTTCAGTTATGTTCGCATTGTAATGATTTTGATTGAAGGAATAAAAATGAATTGTGTGTTTGTCTCATTTATTTTCTAATGTGTTCAAATGACTTGAAGAAAAAAATACAATTATTCTCGTACATTTGCACTATCAATTGGACTAATGAGTTCTAGAACAATGTGTATTCTCTTTCAATACCCCCCTCACAAAATCGATTTCCACATCAGCCAACAGTATTTAAAAGGGAACAAATTATGGATGATTCAATGATTCAGTAGGAAAATAACATAGTTGAGGTACCTGAGAGTAAAAACCTAACAAATTTAGAGATCTGTTTATGTATTTGACCTTTTTATATCATTTATAAAATTATACTGAATATATAATTATTATACGTGATTTTTTTCGACAAAAATAATTAAGAGTAATAATGTATACATGTTCTGAGTTAATATCTTTATGATATTATATGAGTAGTTTGTACTTCAAAGAATTTAAATACTTGAAAATTATATGAAATTTTTTATAAATTATTGTAATTTGTTTTATATCAATATGAAAAATTACATGTCAAAGTAATAGTATAATTTAACTCTTTGAAAAATAAAGCATAGATATTTTGAATATTTCTTTTATTCACTTTAACTTCTTTTTAGGCAATTATTGCAAGATAGGGAATTAGGTTCTAAGGCTACGTGGAAAACTTGTAATAGGACACGTCCTCCTTTAATCGTCATGGTTCAATCAGTAGCGAAAGCAAAAACTTTTATTAATCAGTTATGATATTATTAATAGTCAATAGATTAATAGAACAGGTAATATTCGTACCAAGAGATGAATATCGATTCAGTCTACTTCTAATATTACAAAATTAATGAGAATTTGGATTCGATACATACTTATTTTATTTTAAAAGATTTTTTTTTGATCCAAAATGGTTTTCTCAATGGGAAAAAAAGAAAAAAAAATTGAACTTCTAGGGTTTAGGATTTAGGGTTTAGAAAAGTAATCATTAAATTTACAATTATTAATTTTCACATGACAGTATGATTATTTCGACTCCAACACATTGTGGCTAAATTGTTTGGATTCTCTCAACAAGAGGAAGAAAAGGAATAAGAATTTAAAAAAGAATGTTATGAGTGTAATAGCATATCAATCACAACACTTTGGATTATATGAGACAAAATAGAAGCAAGAGCATACCACATCAATATCAAATTGACAAGTGGCAAATGCACGAACTCATTCCATAAAGTCCTACAAATGAAGATTCAAGCCCGACACAATATAAGTGAAGATTCTCACAAAATCCTACAAATAAAGATTCAGCACTGTTATGCACAAACTCATCACACAGAGTTCATCTATTCGAGTCTCTCATGTATGAGCCCATCGCCCATTGCACAAAGTCCTACAAATAAAGATTCAGGTTTGTCATGCATGGGTACAAACTCATCAGACACAGTCCTACAACTAAAGATTCAGGCCCGTCAGGCACAACCCATCACACAAATTCCTACAAATGAAAATTCCAATAAAGTCCTACAAATGAAAATTCTGGCCTATCATACACGAACTTATCACACAAAGTCCTATAAATGAAGATCCAGGCCTATCATACATGAGTTCATCGTCCATTGCACAAAGTCCTACAAATGAAGATTTATGCTTGTCATGCACGAACCCATCACACAGTTCATCTATTCAAGCCTGTCATGCATGAGCCCATCGTCCATTGCACAAAGTCCTATAAATAAAAATTCGGGCATGTCAAGCCTACTTTCCATAATCTAAGCCGGGTGGTGGAGAGAAAAAAAAACTTAAAAGAAGAGTCCGATAATGGCTTGTCTAAGATTCTTCATCAAGATAAATATGTAACATGGAAATAAAAAGGAAATAATCAGCCATTGCTCATTTTCTTGTCAGAGAAAGCTTCTTTTCTTCTTCAAATTGTTACATTGTACAAGGTATCATCACAAATTACACAAATTTAACACCCCCTATCTATGATACAAGAACTCCCAACAGAGATTTCAGGACTATATATATTTCATCAATAATATATATATATATGGGACCTCAAGTCCTCTTTTACCATAGACAAAAATAATACACCTAAAAAGAAGAAAAATATATATATCAACAACGCTGAGAAAGTACAATAAACAAAACAAAAATCCAGCACTACAAGCCCTTGATAACGAAGAAGACTCTAATTCCTTCTACTTGCCTGTGGCTTAATTTACAAAGGCCCCAACTCGAAACCCTCAACTGCTTCAATCAAGTTGAACAGGTGCATCTGCAACCTGGGAAAGTTTCAATCTTGCTCTGTCTGAAGCCTGTCCTTTCTGTTGAAGATCCCTAGGGTCTCGAAGCCTCATATCTCTACAAGATATCTATAACTCCGCCATTTTTCGAAATGGCATCATGCTGTACATACAACTGGAATTCCTCGATGTTAGCAGGAGCCTGAAGTGCAGGGAACAATCTTCACTACTATCTAAATCCAAGCAAGAGAACCTCGATCATTGGCAGTTTGAGGACGACCTCTAGTTGGCGTAGGTGGTCTGTTAGCATTTAGCTCCTACTCAAACAAAGCAATGTAAGCAAGATTGATATAGATCTAAGTAAAGTTAATAGTTGAAGCAAAAGATCTGGAAATATTGAACCTGCATCCAAGTGTCTTCCATACGCTCAGGTGAATTTTCGGGTGATGAAAGTGCTGGTGGCAATGGGTGAATAAGTTTTGGAACAACTACAAGATCTCTACCCAATACCAAGATTGCGCCAGCATTATTAGCAGTACCTGCATCCACAAAAAAAAATATAAGAAAAATCCAGAGAAATACTTAGAAAAAAGATAAAATTCGCTATCTTGAGTAGAACTCTTCCCAATTTTCCAACATCTAAAATTAGAACATACCACAATAATTGGTGGCTGAAAATAGTGTAATTAAATGTCCCTGAGCAAATCGTTCAAAGCCATCCATCACACATTCGTGCGCTCGCACTATCAGTTGAAGATCATTGTTGTTGCAAAATTCCATCACACGATCAGGCTGCACATTGGCAAAGGCTTACATGAGGACACAGGAAATGCTAGAGAAACTGCACTCAACCAAAATTCTACAGAAACAAGATTAGAAGAATAACCTACAGTTTCCACAGACCAAAACCAGAATTGAGCCAACAGCAAAATGATGTCCCTGATACTTATAAGAAACCTTCAAGGACACCCAGCTGACTGAACCAAATACCATTAAAGGACTGTTGAATGCAATTTTCTTGGAAGAGAGTAATTGCACCCAAAAAAAACAGATTCGCTCAGACCCTTGTAGTTAAAACGTAGAATTATTGCAAATGGCAGGACTGCAGTTGATCCCAAAAAAGTTGTACTAAAGATTTTGGAAAAAACACAGCCTATCAATGAAAAAATTTAAGTAATAGAGGGCATGTGGAGACTGACTTTTGTGGTTCAAATGCCAGTTGATACAGCTGAAAAAGAATGTGGCAGCTCCCAAAAGGTTGGTCTAAAACCAGTCAAATGAAAATCAATTTCATTACTACCCTGAAAGAAGAGACTGAAAGAATTACTCACCCCAAAAGTAACCAGCCCTGGACCTCTTGCATTTGGTCTTAACCCTTCAACGCTATCATTTTCCGTTGGATCAGACCTAGATGTACACAAGTAATGTAAGGAAGTGGGAGATAATCAAAAGTAAAAGACATAAGAAAAAGAAAAGACAGAGACTAACCACAACAAATCCATCAGAATAATCGACCCTGCTTCCATGGTGATAGGACGCTGGATATTCTCTATCTGTTCTACATGATTGATCGACCTTCCAATGCCACCGTGCATACAGATTATTTTTTTCTCAATTAATGCTGCGAGAGGAAGCCAATTGAACAACCTGTTAATCCGATGCCAAGCCCAGATTCCATCTCTCTCACCCTGTTCCAGATATGAACATCAGTAGCTAACTCAGAAACTGGAGTTCTTTTCCAGTAAGTGATCTCATACCATGCGTTCAATGCACTCAATTCGAAAGCCGAAAAGTGCATTTATATCTGCCGCTTCATGATTCCCTCGAATTAAATGAACGTTGTGGGGATGCTCAACCTAAATCAACCATTTTATGAGCGTTAAAAAAATTTAAATAATTACAAAAGCAAAAGCAGAGCTAACATCCAGACAGAACAGGTACCTTTAAAGCAAGGAGAAGAGTCATGGTCTCCAAGCTGTGCTGGCCCCTATCAACATAATCTCCTAAGAAGAGATAATCGATATACCTGATGATAATTCACAAAGAAATTTCTTGTTAGAATCATTGAGACTATCTCTGATTGGCAGATAAAGGATCACCTAAAGTGTGCTTAAAGCCCTATAGGGTAGTGAAGCCTGAGTTGTGCACTTTGTCTAGCTCAATTGGGGATCTAGTGAGGCATCAATGCGCAAAGGCAAGCACAATTTCATTAATTGATTCTGTGTATAAGAGCATCACACTTGACAACACATTTAGTTGGCGACTACGAATAAGAAATTACAAGTTTAGTATAAGAAAATTGGCCACTTAGAAACATAAAACTACATCATCTCATCTAATTCAGGAATTCAATGATTTTTAACTTGATGACATGATTTTAACTACATACATATATATAGAAATAAAGAGCTTAACTAATTATTTTCAATTCTTCTGTCCGAATAATTTTATTTTATGATGGAAAAATCCCAAGGGCTGGTGCACGTTCAAAACTCGATAGTTAATGGACTGCCCCCCTACTTTTCTCCTCTTAAATACCAAGTTTTTGTTTAAGGTGGGTTCAAACCAATGATGAGCGTGTAACACACATATCACGCATTACACTCTTACCACTAGACAAAAGCCCTGGGGGCATCCAAATAATTATTTTTAGCTTTTATAGTTGCATTTTCTAGCATTACATTTCTATTTTTTCTTTATTGGATTTTTTCTTGCTAAAACCCATGCTTTAATTGCACTTTGCACTTGAAGCCTCAGCAGACTTGGGCACTTCTCGACTTTTGACTACTTGGTTGGGTAGGAGTACGTGAGACCTAATACTTGAGGGATGTAAGTGTAACAGCTTTCAAGGCTAATTGTAAAGAAGCGTGAAAATTGGTCTAAACGCCATTATCATTTTTTTTTTAAAAAAAGTTGTAATTGATCTTTGTCCAAATCTAGTTTCTGTTTCAACTTTTTGTTTGCAATTTGTCCATATCTCACTCGTTTCATTCTTTTGTTCCTATTTTTTCCAATTACTTGTAATTTTGGCTCTACTTGATCAATCAAATTCTCAATCAGTTAGCTTATACATTGTTGATTATTTGAAGAATAACCACAGTACTTCCTCCTATTCCATACCACTAATGCCTTTCATAAGCTCGTACCGATGTACCTTTCACATATGAAGACTTAGGCTCTGCTTTTATCCTAAAATGTTGTGCTCAGCAAATCACATCAAATAGCAGGCTCTGCTCATCCAAAGATTCTTTCTACTATGTTAATCTCATCTACGAATTCTACAGCTTCTGATAGTAGATTCTTAGTCCGAGGACTATTTTGTAGTCTATTTCTGACACAAAGAATACACCATCTTAGTGCTAATCATTAACAAAATTTACTTACCTTATGCACCCAAAAGGCCAAAAAAACGCTTCCCTACCTTAAATAGGTGCCGCCATTAATAGTTATAACTTGTTCATAGCTCATTCTTTTCGAACTATTATTCCTATTTCACCCAGCTATAGTATTTTAGGCTACCACTCTTAACAAGATGTTTGATTATTACTATCTGTGTTGTGTTGATTATTTGCATAACATGGTACTCCTATTTCCTCAACTTTCTTCAATATTTATGTATTTCCGCATTAATCATGCCCTTTGACAGGCCTATAATCATATGGCTGTACATTTCTCTTCCAAATGCTTAAGCTCTGCCTTGTACCCAAAGATATTGTGCTCATCAAATAACAGCACATAGTAGGCTCATTTCATTCAATTCCTGCTGCTATGATCATCTAGAAGCTCTTGGTCATAAACTTCACTCTTCTTTATGCCATTTCATAATTCATACCAATTCACTGCTGATCCTCCATTGGAATCAGCTCAAAAGTCTTCTTTTTCATCCAAAGAAGACATCCTCATTTCTGCGACCAAATTCTTTTCAGCTGTATCATTTTGATAACACATCACACTCATTCAAGTTATTCAAGTGATTTCTGGTTAATAAGAACATAAATAAATATATGATCATACAACACTAAAAAATATAACATAAAAGAGAGACTAGCTTAAAAGTGAGTAGAATTCTTTTATCATCTTTTGTTATTATTTTTATTTCTTAAACAAACCCCCCCATAACCAAGTTACTGGAGAGAGGTAAAGTTTTTAAAAATTATTGAAACATTACAAATTAAGGGGTCCGAGTCTCATATCCATACATATTGACACTCATTTTTGCTCCTACATAACCAAGTCCAATCATCCTTAATAATCAGCATGAGCAATTCTCACCAAACCATTTCAGCAAACATACATCAGTAACTGCTACTCCTGTCCCTAATTACTTGTCCAATTTTCCATTTTTACTTGTCCATTTTGACAAATCAAGAAAAGATTAAAAAGAATTACTTATTATACCCTCAATTAATTAATTTTGAAAAAGGTAGATCTTGAAAATCTTAAATGTTTAATTCATCCACTTCATAATTAATAGGGGTAAAATTGTAAACTCACTATCTCAATCATTGTTTTCTTAATAGGGTCAATCCAAAAGTGGACTAATGATTAGGGACATAAGGAGTAATACTTTGGGCTTTGAAACTTTTGTATCATTATATGAAGCATTTTGTTCAACATTAGCCATTTTCATCAAAAAACTTACGACAACCATGTTTGCTTTCTGGTAGAGTAATGGAAGAAATCCAAATATATTTGCGACTATGTCCAATTAATCATTTCATCATTCTTTACGCATGGAATATAAATTAAGTGTCAGGAATGTATTATATCATTGCATCAAAACTTAGAAAAGTAAGTGTCATGAATGTATTATATCATTGCATCAAGTGATAAGAAAAAATGGTTAGTTTTGTCACACAAAATCAAAAAAAAAGTAAACTTAACACTTGGGGGAAAACTTGTCATGTTTTAGTTTACAAATAGTTTTGATACAATTAAGTAAGAAGAAAGGTGTGTGTTAACAGTCAAAACCACAGGGAAGGTTTGTGCACGTATCCCGAAAGAGAGTTCTAAGATCTCCAAAGAAATAACCTAAGCAGGAGGAGGACATTATAACTACAAGAATTAGCACCTCCGCTAGTTTGTTTTTTTAAAAAAAAATAGAAATACCAAATTATGGCAGATGGAAAGCTAGAACGTGCAAAAAGTGGTTAAGCACATTTGCTGACCATATCCTTTTAGCTATTTCCTTGACATTGAAATGTTTTAGTTTGATCTAGTGCATTTTTGCCCAGAATGCTTTCCAAGATTGGCATCCTTATTTTAGACTAATTTAGAAAGGACTTCAAATTTCCTTACTTCAAAAAAAGCACTCACGGGTGTGACCTAATGGGCAATAAAGGGAGTTCAAAATCATGAGGTCTCGGTTCAAATCTTAGCGGAGGCAAAACACTAGGTGATTTCTTCCCGTTTGTCCAGGTCTTAGTGAACAAAGTTAACCAGTACCTGCGTTGATGGGAGCTAGCAAGTGCGCCTAGAAACTAGTCAAGGTGTACACGGCGCACAAGCTGGCCCGGACACCACAATTATGAAACATACATCATTTGGTTTCTCCCTCGATACACTGTTCCCCTTCTATTTGTATGCTCGAGGGAGTTTCTATTTATCTTTGGGTAGCTACTAACAGACTTTATTCAATAAGGTATACAAATTTATTAGTGTACAAAATAATTCCCACATAGAAATGTTTACAACCCACATAGAATGTTTACAAAGTAGAGGATCTCAAGTTCTCATTCAAAAACATGACTCTCTCTCTACAAAGAGCAACAAATGTATGTTTTCCCTAATTACTAGCAAGAGCTTTGCATGATGGAAAAAAAGGTGATTATCATCATTATAAATATTGACAAGGTATTATAAGACTTTTTCGCCAACTTTATGAATATAAAATGCACAAAAAATTCATAGATACTGAACACAGGCAACCTAAGCTGCTTAAACGGCGGAACTGTTGGTTAGAACAAGAAACATGAAGCAAGATTGAGTCAAGACACTCACGCTATGTCTCCAGCAGTTGATGGGGAACCATACTCATCAAAAAGACGCATCAGATCCCCAAATTGCCCATGCAAGTCACCAAATATCTTAATAGGAGCTCTTAGCTGTAAAACACTAGGTTCACTGGAAAATATTCTCTCTGCACTATCACAAAGATCAGCTATTTCATTGCAATCCAAGAAAAATTGCCGTCTGACAGGCGGCTTCCAACCTCGAGGTTTCAGAAGATGGGCAATCACCTGAAAAGGTAAGGGGAAAAAAGATATAAACTAAAAGCATGTGGTTTATGATACAAGATATATCAGCCAAAGCTAACAACAGATATTCTAAAAAAGTAGAGTGTATTCTTTTATTAGGAAGGAAGGTGTATAAGAAAGTGGACTATTTTCTTCTTCAATCTGTATTGAGAATATTTAACTCCGCATGTGTGAGCTTGTTCACATTGCCGTTCCGAAGCCCAGATAAATAAAATAGCACAAAGCCGGTGTTGTAAAAGACGAAAAACTTAAAAAAGCACTCCACAGCTATTGGTGCTTTAAGCACCACATGCAGTTGTGTGAGTTTTAGGTGCAAAACTAGCCAAATCACATTGGGGCAACCGGAACTAGAGAGTACAAATTTATCGGTCCGGCCCAGTAGACGTGTGAAGCTAAAGCCATAATTCTCATTGCTAATCAATATTATTGAACCACATAACCGAAGTAATCATACCTTTTTGGGAACACTGTTAACGGACATTTGCCTATCCAAAAGTTTTCTCGCTGCTGTTGCATTTTCTGGGGTTCCATAACTTACTCGCCTGCCTTCATTTTCAAATTGATCAATTGAAAGTTGTCGCACCATGCCACCTAGGGCACCCCCAGTCTCTGCAGCTACAACCACCTACAGGTGCATTAAATACATTAAATCAGTTCACATACAAATTTAATCTGATAAGAGAACATATTATTTTAGGCATAGGACTAACAGCACGGTGATGCAGCCTAACTCCAGTTGGGGTAGAATTATTTGAATCAGGTTTGATCAAGGCAGGTTCCTCTTCACCACTAGGTGTTGCCTCAGCTCCCCGATCCCTATCTGGAAGTTCAACTTCACCATTACCTTGTTGTCGAGCTTTGGCAGCTGCTAGTGCAGCAGTAATGGCCTCTGCTTCTGCTGCAGAGGCCTCCACAAGGTATTCAACACCTTTGCCAAGTTTCCTACAAATTAAGCCATGGGAGATGGAATTCAAAAAATAAAATTGCAATAAACGAATAACAGCAGATATTGTCATTCTTATGCAACTGCAAACTCACCGACATCCTTGTAGCATGGCATTTTCAGTGCTTATATCAGTAAACATATCACCATTTACAGGAGGGGCAACAGGACTTCCCAATATAACAGAACCATCATTAACTTCCTCTGGAATGGTTTGCCTTGTTCTTTCATCACCAAATCCATACCTTCCGGTAATCCTTCCATCTTGAACATTAGATGCTGCAGCTGCAGCGGCTGCATGTGAAGCTGCACTAGTTGTTTCAGCAGCAGCCAAGTCTTCCGCGACAAGCAAGTCATCTAGCAGTACCCCTGCGGCAAAAACACCAACTCAGATACCGTCTTGGTATTACAAAATATCACCTACACATAGAGATTCCAAAACATCAGCCATTTCTCAACACCAGAAGCAAGAATGCAGCATAAACCAGGAAACTACCTCAATACCTGCTCCTGGGGACATAATTAACTAGAGAGCTTTGTTAAGCAAGTATATTTCATAACAATAGTTTTATATAAGTAGGATCAATCCTATTTGCAAAATTAAGTTGCTCGGTCTTTTCAAATCCTTGCCACACCTATGTCGACACAACATGGGGGTGGGGGTGGGGGTGGGGTGGAATCCACACTGAAATTCGGTCAACTTACCTAAGGTGTTTTGCCTTCATCTACGAATGGAAAGTATAGATTAATTGGGCTTTTGGTTTTTTAATCAATTGAAATATATACTCTTTTTTTTTATAAACAAAAAAAAAAGGAAATTGAGATATATACTTCAACTGTCATAATATATATTTATTGGTTGTTTCCCAGTACCCATGTCCACACTCGGATCCATACCCCCTGCTAAGATATGGTATTGGGCCCAACTCAATCTCAAAATATAGCTAATGAGGGGATATTTGTCCATCTCCATATAAGGAGACCAATTTCTCATCCCTCTACCGATGTGGGACTTCTTAACACTCCCCAAGAAACCCGAAACTGGAGCATGAACCCTTATAAATGGGGCCCAACATCGGTGAATAACAAATTAGGATGGGTTCGACACGGATAACATGTACATATATGGTGCATAGGTCTAACTCAATCTCAAAAGCTAGTTTATAAGTGGAGGTTTGTCCAAGTCCATATAAGGAGACCAATTTCTCATCCCTCTACCGATGTGGGACTTCTTAACACCCCCGAATCCTAAAATTTATTTAATGAAGAGTCCAGTCTTTAGATCCGCACCGTACTGGATACCGGCATCAAGTCCGAGCAACTTAGTCGAAAATTACAAGTAGATGCCATTCTGGTACTCAGAAAGATGTAAGAGCTAGGAGATTGCTAAGATTCACGCATCTAGCAGTATTTTGGTATCTATAGTTTGGAAAGTCAATAATTACATAATTTGGACTGAGAAACTAATGATCCCAATCCAGATCATCTAATTTAGTGCTTCAGCTTCAACAGTACACATCCAAGATTCCAACACTTCATTTGGAATAAGTTCAATGAATGTATTGAAGGCATGAGTCCATAATAACCTCTCCTAGGCACATATTTCATTACAGTAATTTAAGCAAGTGTACTCCATAATAATTCTTTCACATAAGTAGATGGCATTACAGTACTTGGAAAGAGGTAAGAGCTAGGAGATTAACTAAGATTTAGGAATCTGCCCGTATTTTGGTGCCTATAGTTTGGAAAGTGAACAGTTTCATGAGTTGGAGAATTGCCACAACTCAACAAAAGACTTTCATCTGAGATCAGCTAGTTATTGTTCTAATAATTGATCACAGCTTCTAGTTTACATCTCCAACACCTTTATTTGGAGTAAGTTTAATCAAATATTCAAAGGCACATGTTCCACCGAAGAATAAGGGAAGAGTTTGATCTCAATCTCATCAATGAAGTGCGCATTATAGGTAAGAGTTTTGGTTTTTCTTATGACGGGAGTGTCCAGGCAAGCTTGCGCACACCTCGACTATTCCACCAGGTACATCCTACCTCCCACTAGCATAGGTACAGGTTAACTCTACCAAGGCAGATAGGGTGGTGGATAGGGAATACATTTTGCTGTTTTTGAAGCCTTCAATAGCTTACATATCGAGCAATCAGTTATCAATGTAACCTGGTTGTAATTAGATGGTGTTATGATGTGAACAAAAGGAGGTGCTCTTAATTGCAGTTCAATCTACTGTGCAGGCCCGCTTTTTAAACCTTTTCCAGCAGCAGGGTATGAACATACCTTTGGTGTCATTTTATTCACATGGAAAAGATATTCAGCAAAGTAGAAAACAAAGGAAGTGATCTCAGCATTTCAGAGGCATGTCTTTCACTAGAACAGATAAGGAGTCCATCCCATTTCTCTTAAGCAACAAGAGACTCTTTTTGGCCTACAGCGCCAATTTAAAATCCCTCAATGGGGATAGCTAACTACTAGGTGCTATACAAAGAGCATCCGTTCTAGTTGCAACTCCACCAGGCAAAAGTTGGCCAACCAAGACCAGACCTTTTACACCTTTTACATTAAAAAAAGACATTCGTTCTTAATATTTTAGAACTTAAAAGACAGGCAAGTTAAAACATTAGTTTCTGTTGCATATAAATATATGAGATGGTCACACAATTCTATAAGGTGTGAGGTACTGAGTTTAAACCTCATTGTTACCCGTCATCAAAGAGAATTTCTGAGTGCTTTACCGAAGAAAAAGACTCAAGCTACAGCCCGCACATAAGGAGGCGTATTGCAAGCCAATTTAAAAGTACATACAAATTGTGCTCCTCTTAACAGTTAGATATTTAGACAATGCGGCACACATTTCACCAGTTTCAGTTTTCAACAGCAGCATTTAGTTTTAGTTTTAGTTATATCAGCATGGCTTGGCTCGCAGTCTAGGCACAGCAACAAATTACACAATTTACCTACGAAAGACAAAGAACCCACCTATTAGAAAGTGAAACATAAGAAAAGTAGGCAGTTACCTTACCAATGGTATCCATAATCAGTGGAAATAGGATAAATTTTTTTAAAAAAAAAATCTATCGAGAAAGTACAGAATAGATGTTGCTCACGCATTCCAAGAACTTCCATTTTTCTATCTATATTTTACTTTACAAGTAGCTAAGATCGGGATTTAGCTGGGCTACTTATAAACACATACACCAAACAGCACATCCTCAGCAGGGAGGAAGTAAGAACATAGAATTAAATGTCTTCAGTTATCTTTTTTTTAAAATAAGTAATGTCTTCAGATCATACTCAAAAAAGTGAAAATAGTTGTCATCTGAATATATCAAATTAGAAGCGAATAGATGGCCATATTCTAGCATTACCTCCACGTAAACCACCATACATATATACCAAGTCACCAACAGCAGCAGCCGCATGCCGACAACGCCTGGTCAATTCAACTGCGGCATCTCCCCCAGCCGCATCTGCACTGTATCTACCTGTCCTAGGACTGGTGACAACAGATTTTATGTCACACCACACTCCTGCAGCAGTATCAAGAACTGCCACCAGACAAAAGTTAAAGGAAAGAAAGAAATATGCACGGTTTTCAGGGATTAACATTTAAAATAATAATAACAATAATTAGAAGTTCAAGCAAAATCAGTTGTCTGTAAGAAAATGACAAGAAATCATCAAAAAGTACCGGCTATACTGGAAGAGTCTTCTACCATGCGTCCACCACCAAGAGCCCCTCCAGAAACATGGAGCCGAGCATTTACAAATACCTAAATTACCAGAATACAACTGATAAACACCTTACAATTTGTGAGGATTAACTGAGTCATTAAAACCACTTACTGCGGCATGCTGATATCTAGGAGATGGTGACACACCAGGAGCAATGGCCCATTCCCACCGCCCATCTCTATGTTTGGCCAGTCCATATGCACTTGCAAGTGGCTAAGAATCACCGAGACAAAAGAATATGGTAAGTACAACAATCACGCAAGCCCATATTCTTAAATCCAAGTCGCAACAATCATAGTACAGATTAACTGCAAATCAGATCCAAACCCTTCAAAGAAGCTTCGTAACGTTTACATCCGTTTAGAAAAATTCAAAATTAGACATCATCACAATCATCTATGACCTGGTGCTGCAAATTGGTAAGCCAGACTTGGTGGTTATCAGGAGAGGAACACTGAGGAGAATGAGATGGCAATACAACGGAACACAGGGGCTCAATGGACATCAGACAGTAAACTAAAACATGAGGAAGTGCGGCCATTCATAATTGTTGCTAACATACAACAAATAAATAAAATGCCCCCCTTCCCCTCTAACAGCTTAAACTTTGGAGATCAGACAGGATATTAAAACATGAGGAAGTGTGGCCATTCATAATTGTTGCTAACATACAACAAATAAATAAAATGCCCCCCTTCTAACAGCTTAAACATTGGCTATTTACACAATTGAACATGTTATTAGAACATGCAATTTTCAGGTCTAACTTCCAACCATTAACAGAAATAGTGTTCACGTGCTTGACCCAAAAAAAAAAATCAGACCTGCAAGTGAATGATTAATCTAACCTGCAATATATTGTCCATATAAATATGAAAAGGGAGAATAATTGAAAACTGGGGAGTGTGAACAACTATATTTCACCACTATTTATCCATGAAGGTGACTGGCAACAGCTTACGAACTAAGTAACATAGCTGGGAATCATGTAACATCAAGAATATGGGCGCTTCATGTGTGCGTGAAGGTAAAAAGAAAAATTCTTTGAGAAATGATGGATATAGAAGAGGTAGCAGAGGTGGTAGAATTGAAGCAAAGAGGAATAAAAAAAGGTAAACTTCATGGTAACATAGCCTACCAAAGTGAATGGTATTTAATATTTATAAGACAAGAACAATTATCACCATAAGAAACATTTTTTTTGTTTGCAGTAGAACATGATTCACTCACCACACTATTGGCATCCCGCCCTCCACAAAGCAGAAGAAGACCATCAGAGCGTGCACTTGCAGTTGCGTACCTGGCCAAGTAACATAAGCTGATAAGCATTTCCATTGGTTGGTGCAGATCAGGATTGCAATAATTCATTTCAGCATTGATCTTATGGAAGGAAACTCATGCTAATCCACACAGAAAATTCAAATGGAAATGCCAAACTTTTTCAACCAAACACATAAAGGATTTTTTTCACTGAATGGCCAACATATCTGGTCGCATGTCACTAGACCCTCCTTGTTAAGCCCATCTTCCAAAGAAGGAAAGAACGCATTTCTATTTCTTTTGCAAACATTCTGTTGGCACATAGGCAGGCATGATACAAAGAAGCAGTAGCAACTCTAACGAATTATTGTTAACTCTGTCTGCAATATACTATAAAAAGTAAGTTTGAAATGTGTCCCTAATATTTTTTCATATCCACAGTACATGTATTTGTAGCTGATTTAGGTTTTCCTACTTATGTTTAATCTTTACTGCAAGCTTCACACCCAGCCAAATTCCCACGCACCCCTCCCGAAGTAAGGGGAAGAATAAAGAAGCTCTACACATCAGGTTTGGAGATACCAAACATTCTGTTAACAAAGATTTGTCATCTCTCTAGTATGGGTGTTCTTTTAACAAAGAGGTAATTAACAGGTAAGGGAAGGGAGTATAGGACTGCATCAATCAATCAAGTACTGATAGGACATGGTTGACAGAGTTCGAATGACCCTTGTGGAATGCGAAGTTTTAGTTTCCCAAATCATTGCACTATTCTATAGCTGGGTGTCAAACATGGCCTAAAAATTGATGGTCTACCCAGAAACCCAACATCCTATGGGTTGGACCCAAGATAATTTTGTATTGGGATGGGGGTTTTTTGAGAAAGGTATTGGGTTGATTTTTAGCCTGCCCAACATAACCTATTTTTAAATTGATATCCATTGTGGTCCAATTCTAACCCATTTGAAAGATTTACTTTAATTTGGTAACTGTTTTAGTTTTACTATAATTTTTTTCTATGTAATCACTTTTTTTGTACCATGTATCTTCTAAATTTGATGTTGTGCAGTTTTCACAGCATTAGACTAACACATTTGTCCAATAGTGCAAACAATAACCATAATCTAATTACATGATAAGTTTTCAATACTTCCAAAAGCTTTAAAATAAAATTGAATGAAATATAAGGGAGGCTAATTTTAGAACAAAAATATAAGTAAATGGATAAATCTAGATCTCACACTGAAATATTTTGATTTGTGAATTTTATTATGTTGACATTTTGACCCAGTTGATAGCTCCATATATTTCATGTCGCTCTGCATGAATGAAGGACTAGTACGAGACGATTTGGTTCCAATAGAAGAGGGTAAATTTGGCATTTCTTGTGTGTAATAATACTCATATTTTCCATAATGATTCAAAATGATATCGTACATAATTAAGTAAGATGATAACTTAAAACCCATCTACTAATGCCGAAAAACATTGTTTTTAATTAGAGCATTCTTTTTAATTAGCATTCAATAAGCCTTAAAAATTGGGTCAAGTTGGGCTGGTCATGAACCAACCCATTTTTCGCTCATTTCATCCCAAGTAACTTCTGGGCCGATTTCAGCCCAACCATTTATTGACTCAACCCATTTTCGCCCACCCAGATCCATTCCAACCTGCATATTTGATACCCCTAGCTAAAAGAAAATATATCATGTTTGCATGTCAGCTCAATTGTAACTGGAACTACATAATACCACATTAAATTTCTCTTGCAATCTTTGGAAGCCCAGCCTTCAGACCTGAAACTTCATACTAGCATGATGCAACATGATTCTCCACACAGTAGATGAAAAACAAAACAAAAAAAAGGAGAAAGCTGGAACAACCAGATCATTAAGAAAATATTTGGCCCATTGCAGGTGCAGTAGTTAAACTACATAACACCACACTAAATAATCCTGTAAATTTGGAAGCCCAGCCTTCCGACTTGGACTCCTTATTGTTCTAACGCTATTATTGACCAGAATGAGAAGTGCATTCAGTTCATTTAAGGTACACTAACTACCAATGACACTGCACTCAAGTGTAGATAATTCATAGACTAGAAAAGTGGATACCCACAAAGGAAATAGAGTAATACATTCTTAAAATCAACAATCATATAGATAGACTCTAATGACAGAAGGATTACAAGTAAAGAACAGAAGCAACTGGAGAATCATTCCTGCTACTATTTGGTGGACTGTCTGGAAAGAGAGAAATCTTAGAGTTATTGAGAATAGGGAGAGTAATATGCAGCAAGTAAAATTGAATTGTATTCTAACTGTGTTTTTGGTGTAATCAGATCTACTCTAATGACACTGTCTCTATCATTGATTTTTAGACTCATTATAGGGATAGGACAGTGTCATTAGAGTTCATTATGTAAAAATGATTTTCAGCACTGATTTAAAGAAATAGAAACAGTTACCAATCTCAAAAAAATATAGACAGACTTCGTAAGTTAATAAACCCGTTAATGACATTTTCCACCATTTGGTGCATATACTGCATTATCATATCACTTTATTATTTGTAGGGATAAGTTACCGTTTCAAATAGACATAATATTGAGATTTTCCACCATCTAAAGCACAAAACAATAGAAATTATGAAATGCTTGCAATGAGCAACAAGTGAAATAAAGTGAATCTGGAAAAGAAAAGAGAGAGAGGGATCTCATGAAATTTACATGCAAGGAGGAGGGCCTTCACCCTCTGGTTCCAATTTTCGCCATTCATATGGTTTTGCAGCAGTGTCCAAAGCCCAAACATCTGCTAGAGGTCGTTTTCCTGAAAAAAATGGACCGTGTTATGATTTTCTGACTGATATCATTGCTTACAATGGTGAAGCCTCTTTATTAGACTAACCATCATTTCCACCAATTGCCATAAGATATCTTTGCCCTACCAAAGCCATGACATGTCCATAACGAGGCCCTGGACCAGGTCCTTGGACCACAACCCTAAAATGACAAAATTATTTCAGTAGCTGTAATACAAGTATGTCAGTATTTAAATACATTTTTCACTAGTCAACAGCATACAAGTTCAATGACAACTACAGTTATTTCAAGTGATAACCTGTGCCATCTTGGTCGATGTTGTTGTGTAAGGTCCAGAACGTGAAGATCCTCAGCTGACAAACCAGCTGGACCAATTCCACCCTGGGATGGATCAAGATAGGCATCTTAAACTTGATGAGGTAGATGATCAAGCACAAGGAAAACAACATGATGTCAGTATACAAAACCTGAATGACAACCATAGTTCCAACAGCTGTAGCAACATGAGCAGCCCTCGGCGTCGGTGGCTCTCCAATTGGTGTGATCCTATGATTTCATCAAGAAACAGAAACACAATTCAACCTTTCTGTGAAAAGTACAAAACTGAATTTAGCAGATCACGGACGGACTAACAATCAAGACTTACCTAGACCATTTATTTGTCAGAACATCATAAGAGTGCACATCTGCAGTAGCTCCTGCTAAGCCTGAAATCAGATGGATAGCTAAATTGTTAGTTTAACTTTAAAATGTTCCTATTTCAGTTTTACTATCTATCAAGGCATGCTTCTCTACTTAAGAGGAATGACAAACCCCCTCTATCAACTGACTGTTCTAGATTAACCAGATTTCACTCTTTATATGGTAAACAGAACTAGTTAAAGAGAAGCCTCCTATTCTTGTGTTCCATGAAGGTTCTTCGAGATAACAACCAATAAGGGTGAATGTGTTTGGTATGGCCAAAATTTCTTCTAGAAATGCAGGGAAAACGTTCTTTGATTAAATCATTTTCAATTCTTGGGTTACTTTGAATCGTAAAAATTGATTTCTCCAATAAACTGTTGTTTATGAACGGAAGTCACTTCTTCTACAAATATCCCAACTCTAACCCATATCAAATGTTTCAGTCAACAACAAGACACTGTCATCAACCTTTAATAATCAAAGATATTATTAGAACACTATAGTTGCATTGTATCAACCTTTGTTGATGAGATAACACCAAAACACTATCCTTAAACCTTGTACTGTTTCATGCACAATTATTTCAATCCGAAAACTGAAAAGTAATCCAAAAAGGATTTCCATTTCATATTTCCTAGATGTTGTCCATTATCAACCTTTGTTGATGAGATAACACCAAAACACTATCCTTAAACCTTGTACTGTTTCATGCACAATTATTTCAATCCGAAAACTGAAAAGTAATCCAAAAAGGATTTCCATTTCATATTTCCTAGATGTTGTCCATTGAAAACTCACTTATGTATACTATATATATGTAAGAAACGTGCACATAATGCATATACAGCCTCAAATGGGAAACAAAGTAAGTTGTGGCAACAGACTTAAATGAGCTTGCACAAATTCTGAAACTTAGACTCTCAAACAACAACACACATTAATATTTAACTTTTTAATAGAATACCATAAAACATGTATAATTTTGTGTAGGGATTCTTTGGTCAAACTGAATATGCAAGGTCAATACAAAACAAAAGCATTAGTAAGCAAATGGAGACAATCTATCTTTACTCCCTACTTAACCTGCTAAGACAGAAAATATTAAATGGTGTAACCACCTCATCTAAAAGTCCCAATCAACTCAAAAGCACCAGCATCTCAAATTCAATAAGGAAACAAGAAAATCCAGTATTAATAAGAAAACTTACGAATTCCAGCACCTCCAGGAGAAGAAGGAGCTGCTGCAGCAGCAGAATTCCCCTCAAGCGCAGTAGCACCACCAAAGAGAATCAACCTAGGACCAATATAATTCGGACTTCCCTCCTCTCCAACAGCTGGAACCGCTGTTAGTGTATGTCCACACCTAGGGCCGGGACCATCTTCCTTCTTCTCTATAACAGACTGCACCACCGTATAAGTCGGAGCACACCTCGGCCCAGCCACCGGAGTAGCATTAGGAGTCTCAACCGGAGCCGATTCTCCGGCGTTTGATGACTTGTTCACCAATGTTGGCCCGTTATTCTGAACTGGATCCTGATCGGCTTCTGACGCCATTGAAGAATCTAAGTCCATATCTGAAAATTCAATTCGATACGATTGCAATTAGAAACCCTAATTTCAGATCCTCCGATTCAAATGCAGGAATTTTCCGATAAATCCTCTCTCTCTACCAATACATACACACTCTCTCTCTCTCTCTAAAATCTCTCTCTCTCTCTGTAAAAACTCTATATCTTTCTCTCTCTGCCCATACATATACTTTCTCTCTCTACGAATACATACACTTTCTCTCTCTAAAACACTCTCTCTCTCTACTGAGAATCCGATGATTATTTGATGAAATAACGGCGCTGAGTCTACTTAAGGGGTTGTTTGGTTTACAAACAAAATTACATAATTCAAATTTGGTTCATTTCATTGAATTATTAAATGCCATAATATAGTAGAAATAAACATTTACACATATCATTAATATATATAACTATTATTATATATATATATATATATATTTTATTAATATAAATATATTCTTTATAATAGGATTATGTAACATGGAACAAGGGAATATAAAATATGTTGAAATAATTTTATTATATATATATATTAATTTTGGCTTTTAGAATATTAAGGGGAAAATCTTTTTAAATAGGGTAAAAGTGTAATTTACTTATTTTATTTGTAAATTTTAATTCTACATAAATGTGATAAAAAATAATACATAATTGTTAATCTTATAATTAGAAAATTTTAGCAAATGTTAATAAAATAATTATATATTTTATTTCACAATTGTAATCTTTCATCTCGATAATCAAGTGGTTTTTATGCATTTTGTTGGTGTCCCTTCAGATTTTTTTAAAAAAATTAATATTCAAGCGTATTAAATTTATTTTACATTATTTATTGTGTGATTATAAATCTACCAACTACAATAGTCAATAACTATTAAAGCATGTAATTGTACATTTGTGTTTTTTTTCCTTCAAAATTAAATGCATAATTGACCACTTATATTTTAGGCACATTTCTTTTAAATATCATAATTTCATAAGTAATATTTTACACATTGGTTATTATAGGTCAACTATATATTCAATATAATTTACTTTAGTTATATAATATTGATGTGTTTTATACAAAAAAAAAAAATTAAAAAATAAAAAAGAATTAACATAAATAATAAAGTACTTTTTTAAAAAAAAAGTTTTCTTAATTAATGTTCTGTCTTATCTCCCTCTTTTTTTAAAAAAGTATAAATAATATTTAAAAACTTAATTTGATAAATTTTATCCCCTATAAAATAAAAACTAAAGAATTTTTAAAAAAAAAGATGAGAAAAAAAGCTTTTAAAATAGGGTAAAAGTGTATTTATTATTTTAGAATTCTAATTCTATAGAAATGTGATAAAAAATAATACATGATTGAAAATCTTATAAGTAGAAATTATATTAAATATGATTAAAATAATTAAATGTCTTATTTCAGAATTACAATCTTTTATCCTCATAAATCAAATGATCTTTATGCATTATATTAATGTCTTTTTTGTTCTTTTTATTTTTTATTTTATAATAATATTCAAAATTATTGAACTTGGTCTTACTTTATTTATTGCTTGATTAATTAAACTCTACTTATTCAACTAACTATCAAGATTTAATGCATAATTGACCACTTAATTTTTAGGTAATTATTTTACTTATAATAATTTCTAAATTTAGTTATGTGATATTGACATATTTTAATTTAAAAAAGGTAAAAATTAAGAAAAAATTCTCCAAGTCATTAATTAGTTGACTCTTTCATCCCTAAATATCAAATGAATTTTCTTCTTTATATAATTAGAGGAGAATTTTCAAAGAGATTGAATAGTGAATAAAGAACAAAAGAAAATGTTTATAAAGTCATCGTAAAAGGGAATATTGCAATTATTATTATTATTATTATTATTATTATTATTATTATTATAAACTTTGGAAAATTTTAAAAGAAAAGCCCAAGGTGTGTTTGGTAATAAGGAAGATGTATTGTGTGGATTTCTAACTTATTTTCTCATGTTTAGTTGGTGAGTGAAAAATATTTTCCACAAAATATCTTTTACTTTTAGCACGAGACTAAAAAAATATTCTTTAGTAAAATAATATCTGACCCTATAATCGAACTTGGACCCAACCTTGATATTCAAACTAGGACACAACCTGATCTACAATCTTACCGAGGACCTTACCTGATCCATACTTCCAACTCTGAAATTTTTTTTCATAAAAAAAAAATTATTTGGGGGGGGGGGGGGGCGTAGGGATGGCGTGAACAATGAAGTTTTAAAAAATTGAAATACTTTCAAAAAACAATTACTTTTTATAGGGTAGGGGTAGGGTTGATGCGGGTTGGGTAAGGTAAAAAAATGTTTAAAATTGAAATATTTTATAAATTAGTTTTAAAACTTTTATATTTTTGTCTGGAGGGGCGATTTAGGGGTAGGAGGATGAAGTAGAGTTTTGAAAAATGTTTTCTTTAATTTCTGAAAGGAAGTCATTTTAATTTCTGAAAGGAAGTCATTTTCATTAAATTTGAGAAAAATAAATTTATTTTAAAACATTTAAGTCAACTAAACATGAGAAAATAGGAAAACATATGAGTCGTGGTGGGATAGTTGAAGTTTTTTTCCTTAACGAGGAATTTTGGGTTTAAGCTCTGGACATGAAAAAAAAAGGTTGTTGGCAGTCCACCCTTAGAGTGGGCCCTACAGCGTGTGATTTAAATATGATTAAGCTCCAACGTAAATACTGAATATCGAAAGAAAAAGTATCATTGTTTCGTGTTTTGAACTTTAAAGCATGGAATGGTTTCAAATTTACTAACCCTTAATTAAAAATTTCGAATTTGAGCTCTTAAATCTGTAATTAACATTTTACTATTATTTAGTGAAATTCTTATGCCTTATTTCTACATACATCTCCATTTAGTGAAGAAGTTTTGGGTAGGGTAGGGGTACTATTTTATTTTTATCATAAGATGTTAAATACTTCAGTATTTTCATTAATAAATTTAAGTATTTAGAAAACGAAAAAGGTAAAGCATAAATACCATAGAAGTGTATAAACAAGTTTTAAAATCAATAAACAAGGATTTAGCAACTGAAATTCGATATTAAAAATACAAATAATGAAAAGCATAACTCAAATACAATATTAAAAATACAAACTAAAGTCTGTCTCTTTTAACAAACTTAACCTAAAGTTGTTTCCTCAAACAAAAAACTTAACAAGAATTAAGCTGGTTAAATTATGACTCATTTCTTAATCCATTTTAGAACCCCCCCCCCCTCCGCCCCCACTTCCAAATTCAACATAACACGCTCATTTGACACCTCTAGTGGTTGATATATCTTGTCATATACTCACATTTTCATGTACTATTTGGTATGCCATTTCATCTATCAAACAAGACTGAAAAATAATTTCGATGAAGCAACAAGAGCTATGATGTAGTGGTAAGTACTCCCATCTTGTTCCAATGGAATGGTTAGTGCTCCCATCCCATCCTTAATAAGAAGAGATCTCGAGTTCAAGTCTCGGGAGTACGAAGTCACCTTTGTATGAAGCACTTTACCCCCCAATGTCGGACTTCCTAGCGCAAATCCGGATTCAGTCAAACTACAATGTGGGTACCAGACACCGGGTGGGAGATCGAAAAAAAAATAATAATACTAACTTCAAACAAAGAAAGTCACACAATGTTATCTGCTAAGAATAAACCTCAGGAATGTCAAAATGAGAGTAACTTTAATGCTTTTCCAGAAACTCAGGGATGTCAAAACATTTTCTGCTAAGTTTAAACTCCAATGATGCCAAAAGACAACTGAAACTATCATTTGTCAGTATAAAAGATGAGGAGCTATTGCTATTTGTACAATCGATTTTTCTCCATAGAGCTTAACACCTATGGTACAGTAGTATAATACAGTCATCACAGAAAAGCCTACTAATTTCTACGACACCAAAAGCTTAGCGGGCGTTTCCATGCTGTCCCACTCTCTCTACAGGAATCACAAAGCTCAAAGACTGAAAATCCAATGGCTACTGCACTTATACACCTTCAGTTTTCGATCCATGTTAAGGTTGCCACAATTAAGTTTTTGCTCGGAAGTTCTCCAGCACATGGTGCAAGGTATGTTATCTTTTTCCTGAAAATTGAGATAATCAAAGATAAAGATCATAGTAGCATTCAGAATCGTAAACCTGATTGTCTAATAAGAAGACATTTTGAGTACAAACCTGTGTAAGTCTACGTCAGTTACATAGATGAATCCAGCAACATTACTGACATGGAAATAAAAGAAGTAAATGATGAGATATGAGAACAAAAAGAAAATTGTTATGATACGACAACTGTTAAAAGAGCCAAAAAAGAATAAAGGGTTTCCAGCTACATCAGTAAGAAATGAAACGGAGTTTCTTATACTCTTGATTCTCATAACAATTTAAAAGATTTAAGATTTATGCAGGAAGTGGGGCGAATAGGTCTCGTGGAGGCATCAACCCCTCCGTTTGTTGTGCTGTAAACAAAATAGTTACCTTCCAAAATAGCCTAACGAGTGTATTGTATATTAGTCATGTATTATACTATTATGACAATTTGATCAGCCTTACCTGGAAATTATTTGATCTTGTTCTTTGGCATATGAAACAGCAAGAACCAAATGGAGCAAGTCTCGACTGATACTAACAGGAACCAATCTTGTAGGATCTGCAGCAGGCTCTGCACCAATAGGTAAAGCTGAGCGTGGAGCTTGTGGTCCACCCCCTATTCGGTAGATGAACAAGTCACTGAAGTTCACCACATTAGAATGTGGTGAAAGATCATTCGAAGGGCCATAAAAATATTCCTGGGGAAGAAGCAAAGATAGAAAAAATGTTGGTTTTGCATTACAAGTATAAGCTGAAAAGTAAGAGTACCATACTAAGTAAGAGCAAGCATTATCCAGTGCATGAACTGGGACCAAGTCCCAACTCTCTTTATTACTAAGCTATAAAGGAAATCTGTACCCGTATTCTATAGCCCCTTGCTTT